GACATGATGTCAGGCAGCTAAGTGTAGGTGTGGACATGATGTCTGGCAGTAAGTGTAGGTGTGGACATGATGTCTGGCAGTAAGTGTAGGTGTGGACATGATGTCAAGCAGTAAGTGTAGGTGTGGACATGATGTCAGGCAGTAAGTGTAGGTGTGGACATGATGTCAGGCAGTAAGTGTAGGTGTGGACATGATGTCAAGCAGTAAGTGTAGGTGTGGACATGATGTCAGGCAGTAAGTGTAGGTGTGGACATGATGTCAGGCAGTAAGTGTAGGTGTGGACATGATGTCAGGCAGTAAGTGTAGGTGTGGACATGATGTCAAGCAGTAAGTGTAGGTGTGGACATGATGTCAGGCAGTAAGTGTAGGTGTGGACATGATGTCAGGCAGTAAGTGTAGGTGTGGACATGATGTCAGGCAGTAAGTGTAGGTGTGGACATGATGTCAAGCAGTAAGTGTAGGTGTGGACATGATGTCAAGCAGTAAGTGTAGGTGTGGACATGATGTCAAGCAGTAAGTGTAGGTGTGGACATGATGTCAGGCAGTAAGTGTAGGTGTGGACATGATGTCAGGCAGTAAGTGTAGGTGTGGACATGATGTCAGGCAGTAAGTGTAGGTGTGGACATGATGTCAAGCAGTAAGTGTAGGTGTGGACATGAGTAGCAGTAAGTGTAGGTGTGGACATGATGTCAGGCAGTAAGTGTAGGTGTGGACATGATGTCAGGCAGTAGTGTAGGTGTGGACATGATGTCAAGCAGTAAGTGTAGGTGTGGACATGATGTCAGGCAGTAAGTGTAGGTGTGGACATGATGTCAAGCAGTAAGTGTAGTGGACATGAGTCAGGCAGTAGTGTAGGTGTGGACATGATGTCAAGCAGTAAGTGTAGGTGTGGACATGATGTCAGGCAGTAAGTGTAGGTGTGGACATGGTGTCAGGCAGTAAGTGTAGGTGTGGACATGATGTCAAGCAGTAAGTGTAGGTGTGGACATGATGTCAGGCAGTAAGTGTAGGTGTGGACATGATGTCAGGCAGTAAGTGTAGGTGTGGACATGATGTCAGGCAGTAAGTGTAGGTGTGGACATGATGTCAGGCAGTAAGTGTAGGTGTGGACATGATGTTCAAGCAGTAAGTGTAGGTGTGGACATGATGTCAAGCAGTAAGTGTAGGTGTGGACATGATGTCAAGCAGTAAGTGTAGGTGTGGACATGATGTCAGGCAGTAAGTGTAGGTGTGGACATGATGTCAGGCAGTAAGTGTAGGTGTGGACATGGTGTCAGGCAGTAAGTGTAGGTGTGGACATGATGTCAAGCAGTAAGTGTAGGTGTGGACATGATGTCAAGCAGTAAGTGTAGGTGTGGACATGATGTCAAGCAGTAAGTGTAGGTGTGGACATGATGTCAAGCAGTAAGTGTAGGTGTGGACATGATGTCAAGCAGTAAGTGTAGGTGTGGACAGTGAGGTGTGGACATGATGTCAAGCAGTAAGTGTAGGTGTGGACATGATGTCAAGCAGTAAGTGTAGGTGTGGACATGATGTCAAGCAGTAAGTGTAGTAAGGTGTGGACATGATGTCAGGCAGTAGTGTAGGTGTGGTGTGTAGGTGTGGACATGATGTCAGGCAGTAAGTGTAGGTGTGGACATGATGTCAGGCAGTAAGTGTAGGTGTGGACATGATGTCAGGCAGTAAGTGTAGGTGTGGACATGATGTCAAGCAGTAAGTGTAGGTGTGGACATGATGTCAAGCAGTAAGTGTAGGTGTGGACATGATGTCAGGCAGTAAGTGTAGGTGTGGACATGATGAGCAGTGTAGGTGTGGACATGATGTCAGGCAGTAAGTGTAGGTGTGGACATGATGTCAGGCAGTAAGTGTAGGTGTGGACATGATGTCAGGCAGTAAGTGTAGGTGTGGACATGATGTCAGGCAGTAAGTGTAGGTGTGGACATGATGTCAGGCAGTAAGTGTAGGTGTGGACATGATGTCAGGCAGTAAGTGTAGGTGTGGACATGATGTCAAGCAGTAAGTGTAGGTGTGGACATGATGTCAGGCAGTAAGTGTAGGTGTGGACATGATGTCAAGCAGTAAGTGTAGGTGTGGACATGATGTCAAGCAGTAAGTGTAGGTGTGGACATGATGTCAAGCAGTAAGTGTAGGTGTGGACATGATGTCAGGCAGTAAGTGTAGGTGTGGACATGATGTCAGGCAGTAAGTGTAGGTGTGGACATGATGTCAGGCAGTAAGTGTAGGTGTGGACATGATGTCAGGCAGTAAGTGTAGGTGTGGACATGATGTCAGGCAGTAAGTGTAGGTGTGGACATGATGTCAGGCAGTAAGTGTAGGTGTGGACATGATGTCAAGCAGTAAGTGTAGGTGTGGACATGATGTCAAGCAGTAAGTGTAGGTGTGGACATGATGTCAAGCAGTAAGTGTAGGTGTGGACATGATGTCAGGCAGTAAGTGTAGGTGTGGACATGATGTCAGGCAGTAAGTGTAGGTGTGGACATGATGTCAAGCAGTAAGTGTAGGTGTGGACATGATGTCAGGCAGTAAGTGTAGGTGTGGACATGATGTCAGGCAGTAAGTGTAGGTGTGGACATGATGTCAGGCAGTAAGTGTAGGTGTGGACATGATGTCAGGCAGTAAGTGTAGGTGTGGACATGATGTCAAGCAGTAAGTGTAGGTGTGGACATGATGTCAGGCAGTAAGTGTAGGTGTGGACATGGTGTCAGGCAGTAAGTGTAGGTGTGGACATGGTGTCAGGCAGTAAGTGTAGGTGTGGACATGGTGTCAGGCAGTAAGTGTAGGTGTGGACATGGTGTCAGGCAGTAAGTGTAGGTGTGGACATGGTGTCAGGCAGTAAGTGTAGGTGTGGACATGGTGTCAGGCAGTAAGTGTAGGTGTGGACATGGTGTCAGGCAGTAAGTGTAGGTGTGGACATGGTGTCAGGCAGTAAGTGTAGGTGTGGACATGGTGTCAGGCAGTAAGTGTAGGTGTGGACATGGTGTCAGGCAGTAAGTGTAGGTGTGGACATGGTGTCAAGCAGTAAGTGTAGGTGTGGACATGGTGTCAAGCAGTAAGTGTAGGTGTGGACATGATGTCAGGCAGTAAGTGTAGGTGTGGACATGATGTCAGGCAGTAAGTGTAGGTGTGGACATGATGTCAAGCAGTAAGTGTAGGTGTGGACATGATGTCAGGCAGTAAGTGTAGGTGTGGACATGGCATCAGGCAGTAAGTGTAGGTGTGGACATGGCATCAGGCAGTAAGTGTAGGTGTGGACATGGCATCAGGCAGTAAGTGTAGGTGTGGACATGGCATCAGGCAGTAAGTGTAGGTGTGGACATGGCATCAGGCAGTAAGTGTAGGTGTGGACATGATGTCAGGCAGTAAGTGTAGGTGTGGACATGGCATCAGGCAGTAAGTGTAGGTGTGGACATGGCATCAGGCAGTAAGTGTAGGTGTGGACATGATGTCAGGCAGTAAGTGTAGGTGTGGACATGATGTCAGGCAGTAAGTGTAGGTGTGGACATGGCAACAGACAGTAAGTGTAGGTGTGGACATGGCATCAGGCAGTAAGTGTAGGTGTGGACATGGCATCAGGCAGTAAGTGTAGGTGTGGACATGGCATCAGGCAGTAAGTGTAGGTGTGGACATGGCATCAGGCAGTAAGTGTAGGTGTGGACATGGCAACAGGCAGTAAGTGTAGGTGTGGACATGGCATCAGGCAGTAAGTGTAGGTGTGGACATGGCATCAGGCAGTAAGTGTAGGTGTGGACATGGCATCAGGCAGTAAGTGTAGGTGTGGACATGGCATCAGGCAGTAAGTGTAGGTGTGGACATGGCATCAGGCAGTAAGTGTAGGTGTGGACATGGCATCAGGCAGTAAGTGTAGGTGTGGACATGGCATCAGGCAGTAAGTGTAGGTGTGGACATGGTCAGGCAGTAAGTGTAGGTGTGGACATGGCAACAGGCAGTAAGTGTAGGTGTGGACATGGCAACAGACAGTAAGTGTAGGTGTGGACATGGCAACAGACAGTAAGTGTAGGTGTGGACATGGCATCAGGCAGTAAGTGTAGGTGTGGACATGGCAACAGACAGTAAGTGTAGGTGTGGACATGGCAACAGACAGTAAGTGTAGGTGTGGACATGGCAACAGACAGTAAGTGTAGGTGTGGACATGGCAACAGACAGTAAGTGTAGGTGTGGACATGGCAACAGACAGTAAGTGTAGGTGTGGACATGGCAACAGACGCTCCGTAACGCTGGAACAAAGACCTCACAAGCTTCCTAAACTGCCAGAGAGAGAGAGAATTGCCTGATAAAACTCCTTTTTTATATTTCTAAGATGACAAATGATAAGACATTTCGCCCCGGTAACGTCACTTCTCGAGGGGTCAGCTCCAAGAGACCAATTTACCCTTCATGCCGAGAGAGCAAGCAGACTGTTCTTTCTAGCTGCCGATCCGTACAAGATGCAACTGTTTCGTCCGAACATAAATAGTCCAGCTGCTGCCTAGAGCAGCATAGAATACGTCAGCATGTACGGGGCTTATTTTTGTTACAAATACGTCGCATTTTCAGCGGATTGATCGATGCCGTGAACAGTGCGACGTATTAGGTCAGAGAACAGGTTGGGCAGTGATTTACCTCGAACCGGACGGCTTAAGTGATTCTTATCTCGTAACAAATGGGAAAATAGAGCCTGAAAATGGTATTAACTTGGTCATTTTCTTGTGATGACTCTTGAGAATATGAGGCGTCAGTGTGGAGTGCCAGTGTGGAGTGCCAGTGTGGAGTGCCAGTGTGGAGTGCCAGTGTGGAGTGCCAGTGTGGAGTGCCAGTGTGGAGTGCCAGTGTGGAGTGCCAGTGTGGAGTGCCAGTGTGGAGTGCCAGTGTGGAGTGCCAGTGTGGAGTGCCAGTGTGGAGTGCCAGTGTAATACTTTTAACCTTCAATCAAATCAAAAGCTTTGATCATAAATGGTTATACATTTCAAAGTAAAGTAGAAATGTATAATGGAGAGCCCTCATCAGTGGAGGAGCCCTGCACCACATCAGTGGAGGAGCCCAGCACCTCATCAGTGGATGAGCACTGCACCTCATCAGTGGAGGAGCCCTGCACCTCATCAGTGGAGGAGCCCTGCACCTCATCAGTGGAGGAGCCCTGCACCTCATCAGTGGAGGAGCCCTGCACCTCATCAGTGGAGGAGCCCTGCACCTCATCAGTGGAGGAGCCCTGCACCTCATTAGTGGAGGAGCCCTGCACCTCATTAGTGGAGGAGCCCTGCACCTCATCAGCGGAGGAGCCCTGCACCTCATCAGTGGAGGAGCCCTGCACCTCATCAGTGGAGGAGCCCTGCACCTCATCAGTGGAGGAAAATCTCTCCACATGAGGCTGGGGCAGCCCCCCCCCCCCCACTCATCTCCTCATCAGTGAAGAAAGAGCGATAATTCACTTCATGGCTATAGCAAAGTGGACCACTTTGACGTGATCAATTCCATCTCCACTCACCTCATATTTCTTCCCTCCCTCCCTCCCTGCACCCCCTCATAGCTTAGTGCCGCGATGTCTTGCCTCACAACTTCAAGATAATCTTGAGACAATCGGCGAGAAAGTGTGTCTGTTGCAACAGTCTTCATAACCTTGCCAGTCACCATGACTTTTCGAAGTCACTTCGCGTGCAAAACACTTTAAAAGGTAAGTAGGATAGTTTCGGAGCCCAGGAGCTAGACGAGACCTTGCAAGGATTTATAACCGCCAATATATGATGACCTTTTGGTGTGATTTGTCACCGGCTGTATTGACCCACAATACAACGTCCCCCCCAACCGAACACATAATATCAACCCCCCCTTCCACACAACCTATGGATACCCCACACACCACACCAGGCACTCTAACTCATATTCCGAGTACGTACACAGTACATTAATTTCACCTTCACCTGCACAATAACTCCACCTTCACCTGCACAATAACTCCACCTGCACAATAACTCCACCTCCACCTGCACAATAACTCCACCTGCACAATAACTCCACCTCCACCTGCACAATAACTCCACCTCCACCTGCACAATAACTCCACCTCCACCTGCACAATAACTCCACCTCCACCTGCACAATAACTCCACCTCCACCTGCACAATAACTCCACCTCCACCTGCACAATAACTCCACCTCCACCTGCACAATAACTCCACCTGCACCTGCACAATAACTCCACCTCCACCTGCACAATAACTCCACCTCCACCTGCACAATAACTCCACCTCCACCTGCACAATAACTCCACCTCCACCTGCACAATAACTCCACCTCCACCTGCACAATAACTCCACCTCCACCTGCACAATAACTCCACCTCCACCTGCACAATAACTCCACCTCCACCTGCACAATAACTCCACCTCCACCTGCACAATAACTCCACCTGCACCTGCACAATAACTCCACCTCCACCTGCACAATAACTCCACCTGCACAATAACTCCACCTCCACCTGCACAATAACTCCACCTGCACAATAACTCCACCTCCACCTGCACAATAACTCCACCTCCACCTGCACAATAACTCCACCTTCACCTGCACAATAACTCCACCTCCACCTGCACAATAACTCCACCTCCACCTGCACAATAACTCCACCTGCACAATAACTCCACCTCCACCTGCACAATAACTCCACCTGCACAATAACTCCACCTCCACCTGCACAATAACTCCACCTGCACAATAACCTGAGAGTGAGGCAGGGGAGCAATAACCTAATCCCGCTGCTGGCAGTGGTGATAACATATACAATGTTTGCTCTTAATACAATAAGCTGCCAGGTCGCCCTACTTAAAACTCTAATGTATTGGATGCAAACTAATTCATTAATCAAATAAATCCGATCCATTCGTAGTGTAAGCATGATATTCAGACTATGGATATGAGCTTACATGATTAATTCCATAAAAGCAAAGCCTTATATTATATATATATATATATATATATATATATATATATATATATATATATATATATATATATATATATATATATATATTATATATTTATATATATTATACTACCCTAGAACACCTAGAGGATTAAGTGCTGGTGGTAATCCAGCCCTTATCCACGCCATAATGAGCTCTAATCCACCGTACTGTGGATAATAACGTAGATAAAGGTGGATTACCACCAGACAACGTTGCGCCTACGTTGATCTAACGATGTTCGTTCGTTTTTTAAACGTTAATTAAACGACGGTTTAAAAATGGATTTAATGTTGATCCTGCGTTGATTTAACGTCGTTCCTCCGGTGATTAAAGGTTGACCCAACATTGATCCTACGTAGAATTAACATTCATTAAACGTTGATTCTACATTCATTTAACGCCAGACACCTGGTTGTAAAGTGATCAGTGCATCGAGTTCTTGCCGAAAAAAAAAAAACAAAGAAGGTGAGGCTTCAAGTGATCTATGCGTGTTTTTTATTTTTTTTTTGGTTCTAAAATAAAGCAATAACATTCTGCTACTGTATCCCCCCCCCCTTCCTCAAAACAATAACAAAACATTCATGTCTTCAACAAAAACATAAGCCACCCGATACACGTCGCAATAGACTAAAAAAAATAGAAAATAGCCAATTTTGCCAATTTTGTTCGTATCACAAAGGATCACTCGCCGACTAAATAAAAAAATGCTACAATATTCTGAAAACTATCAAGGTGGAGCGGCCACCAGGGTGTAATAGGCAGGTGGCCACCAGGGTGAAATAGGCAGGTGGCCACCAGGGTGTAATAGGCAGGTGGCCACCAGGGTGAAATAGGCAGGTGGCCACCAGGGTGAAATAGGCAGGTGGCCACCAGGGTGTAATAGGCAGGTGGCCACCAGGGTGTAATAGGCAGGTGGCCACCAGGGTGTAATAGGCAGGTGGCCACCAGGGTGTAATAGGCAGGTGGCCACCAGGGTGTAATAGACAGGTGGCCACCAGGGTGTAATAGGCAGGTGGCCACCAGGGTGTAATAGGCAGGTGGCCACCAGGGTGTAATAGGCAGGTGGCCACCAGGGTGTAATAGACAGGTGGCCACCAGGGTGTAATAGACAGGTGGCCACCAGGGTGTAATAGGCAGGTGGCCACCAGGGTGTAATAGGCAGGTGGTCACCAGGGTGTAATAGACAGGTGGCCACCAGGGTGTAATAGGCAGGTGGCCACCAGGGTGTAATAGGCAGGTGGTCACCAGGGTGTAATAGACAGGTGGCCACCAGGGTGTAATAGACAGGTGGCCACCAGGGTGTAATAGACAGGTGGTCACCAGGGTGTAATAGACAGGTGGCCACCAGGGTGTAATAGACAGGTGGCCACCAGGGTGTAATAGACAGGTGGCCACCAGGGTGTAATAGACAGGTGGCCACCAGGGTGTAATAGGAAGATGGTATCAAGTGCTTGTGACAGTTGATGCACTAAAGTACTGATGTACTAAAGTGCCCGAACCTAACCTAACCCAGGACCCACGAATAGAAGACGGACCATCAGGCCAATCTAACGAGCCACTGTGATGTTCAGTACACGTGATTTTTACCCTTTAGGGTGAGGGGAGTTACAGGACACGTGCGTGTACGTGTGCATGTGAGTGCGCGCGTGTGCATGTGCATGCGTGTGCTGTGTCCAGCCCTGGCCTCCTGGCCTCCACTTCCAGCCTGACACTTCTCTTAAAACCAATTACCAGAGATCTCGTCTCCCTTCACTCGAAGCTCTGCCGTTCCTATATGTCCCCATTTCCAGTCTGAGTCTTCTATCCTCCAAACTCCACTTCTATTTTGGTAACTCTTTCCCCCCCCCCCCTTCACCCCCCGTCGATCCTCCTTAGCTGATCCACCAGGCTGTTACGTCATCTTGAATGTTGACGTTACAATCAATATGAACGCTTCTCGGGTCTAGGGCAATACGTCAGCTTTATTGACATGTGAGAGAGCCTGATCGAAAATATCATTCGCAGCGAGGAAGACTGCTCGCTTTTCCGCCCTGTGTCCCCTACCCCCTGGCCCTGTGTCTCTCCCTACTGTGTCCCCCGGGCCCTGTGTCTCTCCATACTGTGTCCCCGGGGCCCTGTGTCTCTCCATACTGTGTCCCCCGGGCCCTGTGTCTCTCCATACTGTGTCCCCCTGGCCCTGTGTCTCTCCATACTGTGTCCCCCGGGCCCTGTGTCTCTCCATACTGTGTCCCCCGGGCCCTGTGCCTCTCCATACTGTGTCCCCCGGGCCCTGTGTCTCTCCATACTGTGTCCCCCGGGCCCTGTGTCTCTCCATACTGTGTCCCCCGGGCCCTGTGTCTCTCCATACTGTGTCCCCCGGGCCCTGTGTCTCTCCATACTGTGTCCCCCGGGCCCTGTGTCTCTCCATACTGTGTCCCCCGGGCCCTGTGTCTCTCCATACTGTGTCCCCCGGGCCCTGTGTCTCTCCATACTGTGTCCCCCGGGTCCTGTGTCCTCCCCCCTGAGCCCTGTGTCCCTCCACACTGTAACGGAAAGTTCAGAAACGTAACTGAAACAGAAATACAATATTACTTATATTTGTATACTTGGGTTGCAGGCGTTCCTAGAAACATATTTGGTTAAATATGACCGCATTGCTGGCGTGGGTGATTTAATAGTAAGTAAGCTTTCTGTGCTTGTATAGTCTTACTCGCGGGATTAAGGGGAACAATCAAGTTATCGAAATTACTGGTAACTTATCTTAAGCCATTTCCAGATGGCTATATATAATGGTTACGGATATATGTGGTTTATTTCAAGTCGTTTCCTATATTGGTCTCAGGTTATCTTGAGATGATTTCGGGGCTAAGCGTCCCCTCGACCCGGTCCTCGACCAGGCCTCCACCCCCAGGAACCAGCCCGTGACAGCTGTCCAACTCTCAGGTACCTATTTACTGCTAGGTGAACAGAGACATCAGGATGAAAGAATCTCTGCCCATTTGTTCCCGCCTCCACCGGGGATCGAACCCAGAACCTCAGGACTCTGAATCCCGAGCGCTGTCCACTCAGCTGTCAAGCCCCTCAAGCAGGTGACTGCTTTATTCTCAGCATTCCTCAGGGTTCTGCTGACTTTCTTGGTCTTTGATCAATAAGGAGTAAGCCAAGACGCTCTGCAAGATGCTGAGACCAGCATTGCCCTGCATAGCCGCTCTCACAAGTTGCACGCAGACCAAAAAATACCTCAAACTTGCAATTTACAAACTTTTTAAGTATTTTTCCTTGTAAGTTACGTGGCGTGCGGTTACTTTTATGAATCTAATGAAATACTTTTCCATTTATAGAAGACGAAAATTAATTTAGTTACAGAGCTTAACCCTCATTTTGCTATAAAAAGTAACATAATTAAATACATTTTCAGCGTCCAC